TTCAAAGCACTTAACGCTATTTGAAAATTATCTTGTTTGCTCCCTGTTGAATGAATGTATCTTCCCAGTAGGAAATAAGACCTATGAGTAGAAATCTCATCTACCTTGTTCACCAACAAGTATGTATTCATTGAAAATTGTAACTGTATATAATATATCCCTATAAATATTTGATAACTGAAATAAAAAACCAATATTCATATGTAAATTGAAAGGTGAAAGAATTTGACTAAAAGAAAGTTTTGGCAATTCCCGAGTGTACTTCACAATTTAAGTTTGTGTTTATTGGAAATTAGATGTTAGTTTCTTCCATTAAGAAAGATAAGAATTAGACCTTTTTCCTACCTATGTGGTCTCCAAAATGATGGTACAAAATTTCCCCATATACACTGTGTATTATTTACTTATGGTTAATATGTATGGTTTATATATGGATGATATATACATAATTTTGATGATAGCAATGACAGCAGCTAACATATATATAGCACTCTGTGCCATAAAGACACTTCCTAGTAGTCTGACCTATTTAATTCCTTGTATGAAACATGAATATAGGTAGATTCAAAGGTGAGTCTGAATCAGTATATCCAAAAATATATGCAATCTGTCTTTGTGAAAAAGTCAAAACTATAAAATCTCTAGCACTGATATAAGGAAATGTTTGTATTAGCTTTTTGACCTGTAAGAGTACACAACTAATAGATTTCATATCTTCTAAGTGATTTCTAATTTGTCAATTATTAGAACAGGCTACAATGTTTTTTGTTTTTTTTTGTTTTTTTGAGACAGGGTCTCCTCCCACCCAGGCTGCAGTGCAGGGGTGTGATCACAGCTCACTGCAGCCTCAAACTCCTTGGCTCAAGGGATTCTCCTGCCCCAGCCTCCTGAGTAGCTAGGGCTACAGGCACATACCACCATGCCTGGCTAATTTTTAGTTTTATTTTGGTAAAGATGGGGTCTTGCTGTGTTGTTCAGGCTGGTCTTGAACTCCCTGCCTCAAGTGATCCTCCCGCCTCAGCCTCCCAAAGTGCTGGGATTACAAGTATGAGCCATTGTTTTTAATTGCTGTTGCAATACTATAACCAAAGGAAGACATTCCCAATCAGTTTAAAATGAACCCCAAAAAACCTATCTGCAAATCTGAATACAGTCCTGTTTTTTGCAAGTAAAGAGTAGGCAAACACTCCCTTGGGATGCTAGAAGCAAATATTACACTTTTACTTGTATTTGTTTATCAACTTAATTTTTTAGTTTTTGTTTTATATCATACCTGATAAATGTGTCAGATGTAACAGCTTATATCAGTATATCGTTTAAAGTGTATGTTTTGAAGATGTTTAACAACAGCAGTACACAATCAAAAAGGTTGAAATTACTACTTTTTGTAATAGGCTTCTAAAAAGTAGGCTTTAAAACCAAGTTATTTACATCAATGTTTCTTTTGCCCCTCTGGCTAAGGTTGTTTCACGAGCATCTGCATGGATTCATGAGGCAACAATGGATACCAGGAGATCAAACAGTCAAGTGAAAATCTAAAAACACAATTACAGAACTAAAACAGCGTTTTATGAATGTTTCATGAACATTTTTAATGGAAAGGTAATTTTTATTTTAGCTGTTGGGTATCACTAA